GTTCCAAAGGATCAAAGTCAACTCAGGTCATTTCTTGGAATGTTGCACTATTACTCTCGTTTTATTGGCAACCTATCAACAATGATTCATCCACTGAACAATCTACTAAGAGATGCTGTTCCTTGGGAGTGGACTACCTAATGTGATAAAGCTTTCAACAGTGCTAAGTCTGCTCTCATATCTGCTAAAGTGTTGATACATTACGACAGTGAACTTCCAGTGAAACTAGCATGTGATGCTTCAAACTACGGTTGGTTGGTTAGTTTGTTGTTTTACGCCGCACTCAGCAATATTCCAGCTATATGACGGCGGTCTGTAAATAATCGCGTCTGGACCAGACAATCCAGTGATTCATATCATAAGCATCGATTCACGCAATTGGGATGGATGACATGCATCACCCACGTCAGCGTGCCTGACAACCCGATCCCGTTAGTCGCCTTTTACGACAAGCATAGTCGCCTTTTACTGCAAGCATGGGTTGCTGAAGACCTATTCTACACCGGATCTTCACGGGTCTTCAAACTACGGACTTGGAGCTGTGATTTCTCATGTAATGGCCAATGGAACAGAGAAGCCAATTGCATATGCCTCACGAACATCAGAGGAGAGTGAACAAAACCATGCACAAGTTAAAAAAGAAGCACTTGCCTTAGTCTATGGACCCTAAATCTCTCTGCATACACATATAGGCTAATACGACATTGAATTCAAAAGGACTGAAGATCATGCTAACGCTAACGCTGACCTACTCTCACGTCTCCCATTACAACACAAACATGGGCCAGAAGAAAGTCAAATCTTTCACTTCTCATATGTAAATGACATTTGAAGTCGGACCCAACACAAGCCAAACACTTCTGATAGAGACTATGTTGAGAATGTAGAGGGAAAAGGGCTTCACTTTGATACCCTTGTTTTCTATAAATACTGCGATCTGTGACATTATAAATTGGTGTATAGGTAGATATAACACTGGTCTGTAGATTTAATCACATTTGAAGATACATCTGAGAGGTTTAAGTTGATTTTAACAGCCCGGGCCAGGTCGGACCGAACATTTCTGACTTGGATTTTTTAAAGAAAATACAGTAAAAATGCTTCACTTTAACGGCGCAGATTTCTTTATATGCGATACACCTGGACATTATGAGTTGGTGTAAAGGTAGATATAACACTAATCTATAGATTTAATCACATTTGAAGATACATCTGTGTGTTTAAAGTTGATTTTGACCGCCCGGGCCAAGTCGGACCCAACACAAGCCAAACACTTCTGACAGAGACTATGTTGAGAATGTAGAGGGGAAAGGGCTTCACTTTGAGCCCCTTGTTTTCTATAAATACTGCGATCTGTGACATTATAAATTGGTGTATAGGTAGATATAACACTGGTCTTTAGATTTAATCACATTTGAAGATACATCTGTGAGGTTTAAGTTGATTTTAACAGCCCGGGCCAGGTCGGACCGAACATTTCTGACTTGGATTTTTTTAAGAAAATACAGTAAAAATGCTTAACTTTAACGGCGCAGATTTCTTTATATGCAATACACCTGGACATTATGAGTTGGTGTAAAGGTAGATATAACACTAATCTATAGATTTAATCACATTTGAAGATACATCTGTGTGTTTAAAGTTGATTTTGACCGCCCGGGCCAAGTCGGACCCAACACAAGCCAAACACTTCTGATAGAGACTATGTTGAGAATGTAGAGGGAAAAGGGCTTCACTTTGAGCCCCTTGTTTTCTATAAATACTGCGATCTGTGACATTATAAAGTGGTGTATATGTAGATATAACATTAATCTATAGAGGTAATCACATTTGAAGATACATCTGTCTGTTTAAAGTTGATTTTGACAGCCCGGGCCAAGTCGGAGCGAACTGTGTGACTGTTGAGAGTATAGGGAGAAGAGGTCTACTTTAACCAACGTGTCTGCTTTAAATACGATGAACAGTGACGTTATAAAGTGGTATTTACTTAGATATAGTACGTTCCTATAATATAAACGCTATGCCGACAGACTGAAATTCGTATCACGATAGCTAGAAGTATTTGATACGTGTCAAATCCTATTTCGTTTAACGATTGCTCTTTTACATGTTACCTAGATCAGCGACGCTAACACATAGCTCCACTTTCTAGTTTTTAAGTGATTTACTCCGAATTACTTAATTATGCTGCACGTTTTGGATTGGTGATTGTTCAGTGGTGTCATGTGTGTATGTTGCATCAATAATATGTAAATATGATCGCCGATAATGAAGTAATTAGCCAATAACACTTTGGCCCGTCTTGGCCCGGCCCGGCCCGACTTTTAGGCAATCCCCCGATATGGCGCGGACTGAAAACGGCTCCAGGCGTCAGACGTACGCATGAATGTATTTAATAATTCGTCGGGTGATTTTTGTGACAGAAAAGTGTGGCAGGGAACACTATAAGGATAATATCGATAATAGCTAGGAACGAGGGAGGCATGAGCATGACTAGTGACGACATAAGGGTGAGTTCGCTTTGGAATCAGTACTGATGCAGCGGGTGATTGGGCTTGTGTGAATGTTCCAGGACAGTTTACAGTAGCCAAAATATTCGACACGAAACCATTTCATCCATTTTACTCGACGTTTTTGTGTGAAGAATATTAGGAGCCGCTATAGAATCTATAATGGCCACTAAACGATAACCTAACCCTAATGATCGTAAAGGGATGCTTGATCGTAAAGGGGATCCAAGGGCTAAGGATAGAGTTCGGGGTAACCTACCCTAACACTGGCGACATTTGGATGTGTTCAGCGCCAATACATTATACCTAATAAACTGCATTCTTGTGCATTATAATGAAAATTAATGAACCGAAAAAATAAATAGAGGTTATCACGCGTGTGTGTCTGGGGATGGTAAATATCCTGCATTAGGAATAAACATTGTATTTAGCGAGCCTTGGCGAGCTAAATACATAGTGTTTATTCCTAATACAGGATATTTACCATCCCCAAACACACAAGCGTGATAACCTCTTTATCATATAATGTCATTCTTTAATTCTGTGCTTCAAAATCGCTTTCCCTCTCTCACAAACATTACCGAAACATTGCGAGTTTTCCTGGAATGCGCGCATTAATATTTATTACGTCACAGGGTTAGTGATGTGTCAGTCGGAAAGTGACAGTAGCCAATATAGTTCCAACTGAAATCTGTTTCTTATACAGTGGCGAAGCAACATATACGCAAAACAACAATAATTTTTGTTTTTAATTGCCTTTCGCGGCAATCCATCAGTATGTCCGCTAGAGTAACTGCCCTTTGTCAAAGGGAAGCTACTCTAACCCTAGTCTATGAGACGTCACGGCCGCGGTCAGACGTTGTAGACAGTCGGTCTGTCCTGTCATCACGTTAAGAAGTGTAGTCAGATGTACACACAACGACAAAACCAAACAAGGTAACAATTCAAACATATTTCGGCCAAATCCAACTATTTTAATTTGTTGAGAAGGTTTCAAGCCGCAGATGTCAACAAGCACAGATATGGCAACTGATCCCGCTTGGCTAGGCCTCGTGCCCTCGCAAAATTGTTTCGAAATTTATATCTCCAAAGTTCCAAAAACTTATAAAATGCCTTATCTACGTCATAGTTACACACTGATTTTCAGTGTATTAGACTGTTCCTTTGATAATGATAGCAATTATCCCTGTAGTTTAACCAGATTCCCGATGGTTAATTCTGACTCGATCGCCGAATGACGAGGGCGTCGCCATGTTTGTTTATAAACAGTGAAAGTAGTCCCTACTTGACCTTTGATATTTACATCTCTATCCGCATATGACCCCAACGGATATCGTTTTTATCCGTTGGCTTTATCTTGCCGAGAAACCTACCCATTATATGATAAAAAATGCGCCGCCGCAGGCTATATTAAGTAAACAAATATTCAAAACTCTCAACATCGCTGGGTGTATTCAGTGACATTGCGTATAGAGGTGATAGATCACTGGGAGGGGCTTATGCACACTCGATGACCCCTGACGTTACAGGGCATTGTTTCGCCGGTGTGACTGGCAACAAAATACTACAAATTACGTCATAGGGTATTGTCACGTGTTTGAAAAGTTTGTGGTACTGTATTCTAAAAGTATTGGATAATTTCTTAAATGAAAACCGTGTCCTGGTAATGCCGTCGGTTCCATATGATTGATATAGATAAAATAATGCTTATGCGACGTTAAGTTTTTAATTCACTCACTCCATTAAAATAAAACCCACAAATATCGTCAAAATCAACTTTTCGCAGAATCTGTAGTTTAAGTCATTTGTCGTTTAAATTGCTGTTTATACTCGGTATATGGTCTTTGATCGTACGTATGAAACGAGTTAAGGAAAAAAGTGTCAACTTGACGAACTCGAAAACTCGGTCTCAAAGTTTATTTATCTCTTTATATATCCTACATTGAAATTTTGAACTGCCCCTTTACATAAACCAAAACAAGCATTGTGTGTATATATTATCATTTGTGGGTTGCGTCCTTGGGCACGCCAGAAACCTATGATTGTAGGTTCGAATCCCGGTTCGCCCCGATTATGTTTCTAGGTTTGTCAGCACCATACCCGTGCTCGTGGGTTTCACCGAAGTGGTAAATGTCTGAGACCGGACTCACTTGAGGCTTTCCTCCCACATTAAGCTGACACGCCGTGGTATAATTGGAATACTGTTAAAAGCGGCGTTAAACCCAACTCACTCACTCACTCATTTGTGGGACGTACATAAACGAGCGGATATGGTCATTTGAGACCAGCGCAATCTAACAACGGGAGACTGTGTGTATGTCACTGTATAATGTTGCCACGATAAACCCAACGTGGTGTCTCCTACAAAAGAAACTATTTAAATTATATTCACTAATATTGTTAACTCTAGAGCGGATAGTCATTAAACAGTTATAACTTTCTAGGCGTCTGACTGGGTTGCGACCGACCACTATGTGCGGGTGCGGACATGGAGACCTCTGCCAGTTTAGTCGTCAAGGACACAACTGGGGACTGTGCTGTTATGCGTGTCCAACATGGCGACTGAGATCCAGGAAGCGCTCGCTTATGTCAGACAAAATGTGTCTGAACTTCGTCATCTAGGCAAGGAATGGGGGTTGAACGACGCGGAGATAGAAACATGTGTTCAGCGAGCCATGTCGATGAAAGTAGACACCAAGAAATTACCTAAAAAGAAAGATCGCAACTCCCAAGCAAGAAAGTTCGCGGCCCGGAAGACTTGGTCCCGATGTCGATGGTGCTTCAACATATGTTTTGGACTGGCAGGGGTGCTGTTTGTCGCGACGACGTTGGCAGCGGGCGTGATGGCATATCAAGCCAGGTCAATTTTCCCCTCTCGGTTCATTCTCCCGTATGCTTACAACATAATGAGGACGATGCGTCTCAGCTTGAGCGTTCCGCTTCAGCAAGCATTTCGCATTGACAGTAAGTGTTGATTTATTTGTTGTTTGGTTGTTTAACGCCGCACTCAGCAACATCACGGCAATATAACAGCGGTCTGTAAATGATCGAGTCTGGAACAGACAGTCCAGTGATTAATATCATGAGCGTCAATCCACGCAATCAACCAAGTCAGCGAGCCTAGCCGTCCGATCCCGTTAGTCGCCTTATACGGCAAGTATTGGTTGGTTATTCTAATTAGTCCGACACTGATACAAAAGTACAACTGTTATGATTAGGACTAAATCTACATAACTAGAATGGTACGCTATATTATCGCGGTAGTTCATTTATAATGGATCATCATGCTATATGTTCTGTCACAACCCATTAGAATTATTACTTTTTTATGTTTTATATTAATATTTTACTAAGAGTAGAAAACTTAATTGTGCTCTATTCTGTATGTGTGATTAATGCAAATTTGGGCAAAGCTGTTTGTCTTGAAGATTAAGAATGAAAAAATAACTTTGTCTAACTGTTTAAGCTAGTGCTCTAAGCCAAACCATCTCATTGTGCAGAGTGGAGTCCCTTAGCCATGCCAGGATCAGCTGCACATGGGTTCGAATCCTGGATCTATATGCCATGCTTCAGATGCTTGGTCTGTGCATGTATAGATATAGTCTGTCTTACAGACCCTGATACAAATATATATCAAATACAGCTCATGCAAGTCTATAATGTTTGGCAAGTCTAAATTACTGCAGTATCTGAAAATGAAGAGAGTCACTGGGCTCCCTTTTATTACATTTTTATTAAGATAACTGAACAACTGTTTTTTTCTGTACAATATGTTCATTTCAGAGACTAGATGTTAGTCTAGTATAGATACAACAAGCCAGTTGATGTTTTTGTTTGTTTATTGTTCAACACCGCACTCAGCAATATTCCAGCTATGCATGAAAGACTGTACTAATATCTTCACTTGGACCTTTTCTTCTTCAAGAGTATTACGACTCGGAATGCCTCATTGAAAATCCCATGTTTAATGACCCTTCGATGGACTGCATGAACTGCCAGCAGATGAACACGGCACAAGAAATGACGGCCACGACTGAGTTCGACCTCTCCATTGTTTCAGGACCAATGGTTTTCAGGGTAATCGTCTCATCCTATTTAAGAAGGATAAATAATAACCTTTTATATGAGTTGTCTCCCTTTGACAGTCAAGTCAACCATTCACACCAAAATGTACCACAGAAATATAATTTGTATAATAATCTTTTTTAGGAGTTGTCTCCCTTTGACTGTCAAGTCAACCAGTCACACTCAAATATACCACAGAAATACAATTTGTATAATAAGAACCGTTTTCAGGAGTTGTCTCCCTTTGACTGTCAAGTCAACCATTCACACTAAAATGTTCCACAGAAATACAAGTTGTAATCATTGAGAAGAAAGTTTGTCATTATGTTAGAGACGTTGCCCAAACCACAAAATTTGATAGTAATTTTATTGATTTCATACATAAATGGGTTCTATTCATTGTTATCGAGTAATATATTATTCGCATTTACGGTTTAAGAAACAAAAAAAATCAAGGTTGTTCAAAGAGACATGTCACAGAAATTGGCATTTAAAGTTTATTGAATCTATTGGTAAATAAAACAAATTACGTAATACCCACACATAGAAGAAAGTACATGCAACTTTCTTCTGTTGGTTGGGACGTAGCCCACTGTGACAATTGTCACAAGTCCTATGCCTGTGTAAGGTCACTAGTGCATCTAGTAAACATGGAAGTTTCGAACAGGACAGGACTCATAGTGTGGATCCGACTCAAAAGAAGCCATGTGTTAACAAGCAGTTGCCCAATTTTGAACATGTTCTGCCACCATTTTTAATGCAGTGAGAATAGCCCACGAGATTAAAAATTATGTAATTTTCCTATTTAAAACCAGTGCTGTAAAACAGGGAGGGCCAGTTTTGCCTTGATGATACATCTAGGTTTGTCAGCACCATACCAATGCTCATGGATTTCACCAACGTGGTGAATGTCTAAGACCTGCAGGGGGCACGGGTGGCCCAGTCGTCTAAGGCGCCGCGATTCGCTGTGCAGAGTTGCGTCCCTTGGGCACGCCAGAAACCTATGATTGTGGGTTCGAATCCCGGTTCGCCTCAATTATGTTTCTAGGTTTGTCAGCACCATACCCGTGCTCGTGGGTTTCACCGAAGTGGTAAACGTCTGAGACCTGCATCACTTCCGGCTTTCCTCCCACATTAAGCTGACACGCCGTGATATAACTGGAATACTGTTAAAAGCGGCGTTAAACCCAACTCACTCACTCACTCTAAGACCTGCATCACTTCAGGCCACTGATTCACAAGTTGTGACATGATGCAGGGTCTCCAGGCTCCGGTACATCTCCGTGACGTGTGGCAAGTTTTACACAAGTTCAAGGACAACCACATGCTGGCCAAACATCCCCTGGAGTGTACAGCCGACTGGGCACAGTCTACAAGGGATCTTGCTCGACCAGATTTGCTTGACAAAATAATTCAGGAGGAAAAGTTCTCATGTAACTGGTAGGTATCGCTCTCTTACTGAAACAGGTTCATACTATTATACAAAAATGAATCTATAATGATTTAATTCAAACTTGGAATAAATACATAGCCGAAAAGGATGCATCAGAGATAGGAGGTGTAGTTGTTGTTTCCAAGTTGTCGCGGGAGCAAAAGTTCAAAACAATTTTTATTCTGTCAGACATCATTGCAGTTTCAGGCTCACACATGGTCAAATATTGTCTTTCAAGTCATGAATATGTCACATGAATGCAAATATGTATGTAAAACATCATGGATCACTCAAGGGTGCAGCATTACACATGGAAACAGTTCAAACACATCAATCTCACGCAATGGCAGACAGCTCCGTTATTTGCAGTTTGCAATCCGACCTTTTTTTTACCAAGGGAAGTAACTCTAGTAAAAACTCTAAATTCAAACAAAAGCTCGATCAACAGTGGTGTTTGTATGAAATGCTTGTAATAATTTGCTGTTGCCATTCCCATTAACCCGGATCATTGTAGGTACATGTGTCACCACCAGGGGGAGTCTGGGTCAGAGTTCGTCTCCAGCAACCGATGCTGGTCGTTAGAGGAGACTTATGGGATTGGGTGGTCATGTTACGTCTCATCATACCCTAACTGTGTGAACACACAATGCCATTTAGAAAGTGGTCATATGTAACAAATGTCATATTTGGGATAACACTTTCTTAGGAGAGTACAGAATCTAGTACTTTCTAAATGGCATTGTGTGTTTATAGCTTTCGGACATGGGAGCCGTGCCAATTTACACTTGTCAGAGGGGTACACAAAGTACGTGATCTAGACAACCAGTTGTCAGACTTTCATTTTGTAGAAGCCTCGGGGCTGAGTGTGAAAGATCGCTGACATTTTGTGCTGGCTATTAGGTGCCTAACTCTGGCAGTGTGGGTCCGAAATCCCGGATAGGACTCAACACTAAAAGTACTAGAATCTGTACTTCACTAAGAAATTGTGTTATCCAAATATAATATTTGTTACCTAACTGGATCATATGTGGCTATTTCATAAATCACTGGATTGTCTGGGCCAGATTTGAACATTTACAGGTTGCATTTGTATAGCTGAAATATTGAATACTGCGGCATTAAACAACAAGTTAATATTTAAACAAACAAACAAACTTGTATTACTTTTATTCCCAGCTATAGAAATTAGGGATTTTTATAAGATTGGTGCAGAGGACAAAACTGGTTCCAGCATGTTATATCTCAATTGTTTGATGATAAATATCTTGGACCAATTCACATGTGCTGTTATCTTTATTCGGTTCTAATTTGTAGCAAGATTGAAGCATTGAGACCTGGTTCAGAATTATAGCCCTCAAATGTTCTAGCATTGGAGTCTTACTCTTGTCCTCAACACAATTTAATAGTCGCGGGTTAGAGGACTACCATGAATTTTGCTGGCTGAATTCCCACCAGGGCTAACCCAGAAAGAAAGATGCCATATAAGCAGCGTCTGGACGTATTGGATATCATTGTGTTGTGTATTTATCGTTAAAGATGTCATTCTGACAATTTATTCACTAATTTCATGAAAAGAAAACAATTGCTTAAAAGTACCAGGAGACTTAGGTCAATAGGAAAAGGGGAGTAATCCCTTGACTTGTCATTAAAAAGGAGTTGTTAATGTTTCTAGTGATTTCTTAAAAGTACTGGGAAAACTATGAAAAAGGGAAAACAGTTTGTAATGACAGGTCAGTGAGTTGCTTCCCTCGGCCCTATTGACAGAGAGTTGCTTCCCTTAGCCTATTGGTCCACCACAAAACCCTACTTTGCAGGTTTGGTTAAATTATTGACGATTTCTAAAAAAGTAAATAAACATCAAATCTCCAATCAACACAAACTGAGATTATTAATATATCTAATATCAGATCCAAACAATTTGTGAAAAATACAGCAATTTACCTTGGTATCATTACAATAATTGATCTGACCTAAGGGAAAAATATTAAAAATACTATTCCTGAATAAGTTATTGCTGCATTTTTCCTTGTACAGTATTTCCTTTGTGTAAACATTTATCATCCAAAACTGGAGATATGGCCCACAGGAGATATGAGATCAAGCAATATCTACATTGTAGATATCGCTGCAATGAAATTGCATCACAATGCTTTGCAGACCATTGTGACATCACTGGTTACCATGACGTCACAATCAAATGACATCACTAATGGCTCTGCTACTGAAGCTGTTAGCAGTATTTTTTACACTTAAAGGGGAAGTGTACACGCAAAAATCACTTTCTTTCTTTTTCTATACAAAACGCAATTTAAAATTAATTAGTATCTGTGTTTGAAAATATACACTCATGTTTTTCACAGTGAAAGTAGGAAGCTCACAATAGTGTGAAAATGATATGCCGTTATGAGGCCTTCGTTTTTCGAGCTAAACAGGCCTGAGTTATCCCCCTTAGATTATGACGTAATTGGTGCCAATTCAACTGGGTCCCTGTCTATTCTCAACGCAAAAGATATCAAGTACCAGTTTGCGGTAAAACAACATGGCCTACGACACACTCCGGCGCAGTGGTGACTCAGCATAACACTATGCTGGCTGGCATCTGAGACGCTAGAATCACACACCTAGACCTACACCACGTGAAGCGGCTCTAACAAAGCATGATGACGTCATAATGTTTATCAATTGGCACCAATGACGTCATATTGCAAGGGGCACAAGCCATGGTGTTTTTGTTGTGGAAATAGAACACTTGGTAAATGTGAAAAATATAAATCGTTTTAATGCGAAAAATATGTTAATTAATTGTGATATTTTTATATTTTTGTCTATGACACTTCTAGGTTAACACTTTTAATGTGGAAAAAGTACAAGAAAAAAAGGTTAATTTCCGTGTGAACTTGCCCTTTAAGACACTGCTTATTACTGTCTACAAACTGAAAAAGTTGGAAGAATGATGTTGGATGATAAATCAAATCTCACCCGAGTGTCTTTTGATATCAAATATATCAACACTCATTGATAAAAGTGGAAAAACTCAAACTCGTGTTGATATATTTGATATGAAAAGGCACTCAGTTGAGATTCTCTATATGTTTACGTGTCAGTGTATCTGACAGTTTGGAGATAGAAGGTTAACCAGATATGATTATTTACAGGTATAATGTTTTGGAGGTTTTTTAAATGGCTGGAAAGTAACAGGAGGATCTGTTAATCGTCAATTTTGATGTATAATAATCATCATCATAACTATGGTAACCTCTGGCAGGGAGAGCAGGGATCATCTGTTTCATGGGCAGCTTATGCGAAGTCTGTTTCCAAAAGTGTCGGTCATCCCGTCCAATTCTGAGATTTGTCTACAGAGGAACATCTTCATTGACGGGACGGGTGCTCAACATCGAAAACTTGTAAGTTTAGCACCAAACTTTCTATATTTTCATATAGTCTGCACTTTCATGTATCCATTAGTAATATCTACACTGACATTGGCCTCATTTTGATAAATGTCTAAGATACCACCAAAGCCAGATCAAGAGTGAGAACAAGAATACTGTATGTTCCTCTAGATGGTCGTGGTGCGGTGGGGTAGTCAAATGGTGAAAGTTTTCACTTGTCACACTGTTCATTTCCCAACACAGGTACAATATGTGAAGCTCTTTTCTGGTGTTCCTCACAGTGATATTGCTCAAATATTGCTTATAGCGGGGTAAAACCATACTCACTCACTCCAGATGGTCGCAAGGACTGGTTCGTATTCTATGTTGTGTAGAGTGAGTGTGTGTGGATTTACGCCGCTTTTAGCAATATTCCAGCAATATCACGGCGGGGGACACCAGAAACGGGCTTCCCACCATTGTACACATGTGGGGAATCGAACCCGGGTCTTCGGCGTGACAAGCAAAGGCTTTAACCACTAAGCTACCCAACCGCCCCTATATGTTGTGTAGAAGCTGTGTGAGCAATTTGATATGTGTGTACAACTTGTACCAGTTCTGTGATGAATAATAGTTCATTAGTCACAAGTACCTCATTTAATGTTAATAATGTTTGTGATGCTCTTATATATTTGTATATGTGTTTATCAATGAGACCTTGTTCTGATGTAAGTCATGTAACCCAAATTTCTTTAGGGATATCAAAGTATAATATAATAAGTATAATATAATAAAAATAAATAATCTGAAATATCTTCTTTTTTCATTTAAAATAATTCTGCAATATTTGGAGGGAGACAGTGCCTGCATGCCGGTTAGCTCATCAACCATGTGACCGTGGAAATGAGTGTTTGTGTTGTGTTTCCAGCCCGCCAGCACACTGGGAGGGTACAGCTGGTACGCCCAGGGGACAGGCACGCGGACCCTCGTGTTCCGCCCACACCAGGGATGTGATGACCTCTGTCAGTCCGTGAGCATCACCGTGAGGGAGGGAGATATAGGTAGGACGTGAGATCCGCTTCTGTTTTGTAGAACTGCAAGTCCCAGTCGAGGTTAGAACGGGTTCCCAGCTCGGGGCACAGTGACTTGGTTGATGTATGGCATTGTGTCCTGCTGGCATGGATCATTGCTCATGATATCAATCACTGGATTTTCTGGTCATATAGCTGAAATATTGCTGAGTGTGGTGTTGACTGTTGAGAGCAACAAATAAATCGTCATGTAGCAGGTATTACTTAGAAAAAGTCTTGTTGTTTATTTGCACTTTAAATATCAAAACAATGTTCATATATTATTTGATAGGTATTACTTATAAGTTGACGGATGACAAAGCAGACACAATTTGTGTATAACAACTTCTTTAATACTGTAAATGCAACATTTCGGTATAGATCCTTATACCGTTGTCAAGCAAGACTGCTTGTGACTTTATCAAGAATTACTGGATAGGGATTGAGGAACTATTCTGAAGTACCAGTAGGTTAAATATTAGGTTAAAAAAGGACTTTTTCAACTCATAATGTAAATTGTAACATTTGAAACCTTTGGCTGATGCTGTTGGATTCAAATGAAATGTTTGTGTAATGAATACTCAATAACACCTGCAAATTTGCAAACACATGTCTATGTTAAAGTATAGGAGTTAAGACCGACTTGGCGCTAAATTGCCTTGTGAAACGAGCCCCATGGCCTTAATACTTAATACTGTTTTGTCTCCTGAAAATAACATTTTTGCATGGACACAGATTTGGGGGATTTTATCAGTGATTCAGTGGTTATTTGCAAGCAAGATATATTTCTGTAAATCTGGAAGCTTGCAGCGCTTCTATCAGAGGGAGCAATGACTTACAGAGGCCATTAGGGATGCAAAAACATTTTTGTATCATTTCATTGTATACTGTGGAAAGATTCTACATTTTCATCACACCATCAATAGGCAAAGTTTTTAGATAAGGGTTATCTCCCCTGGGCTGTTTGTATGGCGTAAATATGAGATTCTATTTTATTGCATGGAAGACGAACATTGTCATATTGAGTTTCACGAGGTTCTAATTTTAAATAGGTTGTGTTCATAGGCAGTTGTGTCAAAACGAGCTAAACAACTATAGGTACTTGGAATCAGGTTTTCTGCACTCATTTGTATTTAAGACTTAGATTTGTTAGAAATCTCTTTAAACAGCTTTTGGGGTTATGTGAAGCCGTTCTCTTTTAAATTCTGCTGGAAAGTTTACACACACACACACACACACACACACACACACACACACACACACACACAAATCTAAACTTTTCATAGCCATGCACTTGTATTTTCCACTCAAACTATGCAAAACAAATAAGTGCAGGTCGATTGTATTTATCCCTCAAAAGTCCATTTCTGCCGTTGGTGTGCACAAAATATCTTTTTTTCCAAATATAAAGGATTACTGCAATTTTCTCCATGAATATAGAACCTCTTTAGGCGCTGCTGAAAAGATAAAACAGTCTATGATCTTCATTGCCAAAAATGAGAAGGTCAGATGAGAAAATATTATCTACTTACAGAATAACTTACAAGAAACTATGGGTTATGTCCCGAGTGAATTAATTGAAAATTTGAAGAAAAAAATTCAACATCATTTCACAAGCAACAGTTAATCCGTAATTCCTAGTTGTGAGTCGGATATTTTATGTATGACCCATTGTCTTTTTCTGGGACAATGTAGAAAAGCAGAGGCGCCAGCTGAGACAGTTCTTTGTTCGAACTATCTCACATAAAACTGTCTGTGACATCATGCACTACAGAAGATGTCATCTTTAATTATTTGTGACAATACGTCGATGTGACGTCACGGTGGACTGCTTCATGAACAGTGAAAACAATGGATCAGTTGACGCAACTAGCCAATCAGCATGAAGCAAAAAATTATATTGCTCAGCGAGAATTCCTGAAAATAAATACACTGATTTCCTTGCCGCTATGAATAATATCTGTATGACAGTGTTAATCGTCTAAATGAACATAATTGTTCTCGTGAAAAGGGAATATTGGGTAGCAAAACATGAAACTGATTTTGTGCTATTAATTCTTATAATTGATTCATTTTAATCAAATACATCCACTTATGAATTTTATACAAAAAATGAAAGTCTTAATTTCATAGAAATAAGCCTTTGCTATCATTTAAACTCAACCCAAACTCACCATGACTTACCTCCCCTTGAGTATGACTGATGTCTATTTGACTGGGCTCCTGTCTATCATAAACGAAGTAAACAGTTGGTGGATGATTTTTCATTTGCAGTGATTGGACAACACTAAACATAGTAGGGCTGGGATGAGTCCAAATTTACTACCCGGGTCCCCGACCCTACCCGGTACCCGCTGTTTGTCTCAAGAGATAGGCACAATTGGGAATAGTTAGACCATAACCCTGGCAATATGTATTTAGATACTCGTATAAAACGATCTGGTCATGCATACACTGAAGTTTACTGAAGTTTTATCTCTAATCAAACATGTAAAGTCAGAAGGAATGCGTGCATAGTCAGAAAGAAATACGAAATATGTATCAGGTTACTTGTGAAACGATACACCATTGGCCTTTGATGTAATAAACTATGCATACAGACCTGTATCGCAATACAGGTTTGTATATAGACATGTTTATGAGAGGATTTTTTACATGTAAGTGACTTTTGTTTCCTTTAAAAATTAAAACCTTTTCAGTTTATGACTTTTGTGTTGTTATTCTAGAATCAAGAAGTCTGAGCTCTATATTTGTAACTAACTATGAGATGCGGGACCTTAATGGTGAACAATGACATTTTGACTTCTTGTCATATTTTAAAACTACAGAATCTTAGGAACACAAAAATACAAATTCACAAGCTTTGATTCATATTTATAACAGAGATATGAATCAAGAATCAAGAATTTTTATTGTACGGAACACCCTCGTAGGGCAGGGTACAAACTAACTACATATGGAATAAATATAACTATCAACATGAGAGGTATATATACATAATGTACATTATATATATAAATATTACATATTATTTCATTCATAGTGTATAAACATTTATATATATATATATCATGAGGTGGTTGGCAGCGTGTACTTTAATGATGCTGATACTGTACAGATAAGACATAATAATAGTCATAAGGTCATATCTTGATGTTGTCTATAAGAGAGGTTCTTTTAATAAACATGTCGGAGATAGTTTGTGAAACATATTTTGCACTTTCAGGACAGGGGTTCAGGATATTTGCTAGGATTTTATTATCATTTTTGCAGGTTTGGAGGTCTAGTGTTCGAAGAAGTATCTGCCTTTCGTTCTGATAATTTGGACAGTACAAAAGGAAGTGTTTCTCATCTTCTATCTTATTTAGGTTACATAATTTACATATTCTCTGGTCGACAGGCGTGTTAGTGTATCGGCCTCTTTCAATCTCCAGATTATGGCAACTGAGTCTTAATTTGGTTAAAGCTAATCTATGATCTTTACATTTTACAGCTGAAACATACTTCTTAAGTTCAAATTTATCTTTAATAAGTCCTAGATGCCTAAGTTTGTGGGAGTTATCAGTGTTTACTTGGTCACTTTCAATGAGAAATATATTTCTAAATTTTGTTTGAAGAGCTTCATAGAATTTTGAGCAAGGGGCATTTTCACTGTTGGATTTGGGAAGTAGGTGTGCCATCATATATTTGATCGAGGGTGTCCAGGATATTTTTTGTGAGGCCAAGAGAATATCCTCCTGGTACGCATCGAATAAGAGCCTGTCACCTTCCAAGCCTCTCAGGCGCTGGTAATATCTAAACATGGACATATATATTTGTAAAGTAAGAGGGTACATTCCTAATTCACTGAGGCATCCAATATTACTCGACTTTTTTGGTACTCCTAGAATCTGTTTTGCTATTTTGATAGTGATCTCATTACATAGTTGTTTTGACCAGTTATGATACATTTCATGTGAGGGTCTTAGAAGGCTGCAGCCCCATACCTCGGCTCCATATGACGCAATGGGTACAATTAAGACATTATACAAGCGAATGAGAATGTCTGCTGGGAGATGAGAAGTTGATTTCAGTGAACTTTTGATCTTATACCATGCTCGCATGGCCTTTCCTCTCAGTGTATTGACAGCGGCCTTAAAAGATCCAGTCCTCATTAGTACTACTCCAAGATAGGAGTAGGAGTCCACTACCTCAACGATTTGATGGCCCAATTTAAATTGAAGTTTATGTTCTTTTGAGGAGCCCCCAAATACAATTATTTTAGTTTTGGATAAGTTAACTTTAAGTTTCCAATGTTCAGTGAAGGTCTGTAGGCTGTTAAGACTGTTTTGCAGACCACGAGCAGAGCATGAAAATAGTACAAGGTCATCAGCAAATAGTAAGTGGGTTAGGGTCTTATCATTTAGTAGGGGGGCATTGTTAGAATTGTCTGACATGAGGTAATCCTGGAGGTCATTTACGTAGATACTGAAGAGGGTAGGGCTGCAGACACATCCTTGCTTGACACCAATATTAGAACAAATTGGGGTACTGGAGCCTTCTTGAGTTTTCACAGCATAATAGAGTGTAGAGTATATATTATCAAGTAGATTATAGATTTTCCCATTTATGTTGTTATTTAGTAGCTTGTGTCTTAGACCATTTCTCCACACAGTGTCAAAAGCTTTACTAAAATCAACAAAGCAAGCATACAATTTCTTCTTAGACTTCTTATATTTCTGAATCAGAGTCCGCAGTATGAAGATGTTATCAGATGTTCTAAAATCTTTTCTAAAGCCAGCCTGTCTCTTATCAAACAACTTGGATGATTCCATGTGTGATATGATTCGCGAGTTGATAATAGCGAGCACAAATTTAGATAGGCAGCTTCCGAGGGCAATCCCTAGGGATATGTGACATCAAACATTTGGACTCATTGTCAGACTTGTAACTGTTTATGGGATTATGTCAATATTTAGACATAATGAATTGAAAGTAGACATGTATGCTGAAAGGTTGTGAAATAATGTTTTTGTTACATTACAAACTAACAAGAGAGAAATAATATATTTTTGTACATTATTTTTGCGATTTTTACTGATGTAAGTTGACGTCAAACGTCTTTATGACGTCATAGCACAGTTGTATCCTAGCATCCATGCGATCCCTTTTCTACTGGTGGGTTACATTTGTTGTTCTTTTTCGGGTCCATAAAAAATTATTTTGTTCTATAATCTGTAAAAAATACTTTCAACATATCAAACTAGGGTTACAATGATGGTAGGAGGTGCCAACAAACGAGACATCTGATTGGCTTAGGTTTGGGGAATACCACTTCTAGTTTTAGTAACGCTAGTCAATACCGTAAATTATCACACCTAACTTGGAGTCCTTATGCGTTTTTGTTGAATGACATGTTACCGCTTTGAGGCCAATGAATATGGCGGAAAACTTTGTATTACAGTAAACTATGGTTATAACAAACTCAAAGGGATCACAAAATTTTGTTAATTATAAACATAGTTTTATATAAGCACATGTACAGAATATATACAGCAAAAGGACAGGACCAAAAAAACAGTTTTTTACATCCGTCAGTTCATTATACCGTATTTTCTTGAGGATAGTGTGCACTTTTTAAAAAAAAAACAGAAGGGGAGAAGGGGGTGCACTTATACACTCCATAATGAGTTTTGATGTTTTTTCCCCCGACACAAAGACATTACCGTGAGCACGTAACACCGGAAATACCATGTCAACAAATCTGGTTGGTTGTTATGGACGTAGTTTACTGTATGTAATAACAGCGTTTGTTGTTTCAGTGTTGTTCATGAGTGGCGCCATGGATGTAGAAGTGACCGACAACAAAGAGGAAATCAGCATCAGCTATCTTGGACACATGCTGCCGGAGCTGCCGCCACCACCGGCGCCTGACACTGCAGACCAATGAGTCTTGTCCAAAAACCGCCTCCTGCAAAATAATTTCAAACAAATCATTGACGTTCTGTTAAAACACCATGTCTTGTAACTCCAGAAAAAAATCTTGATCTTGATTAACTGGTATCATTACTTGATGGGCCCGGTTCACAAAGTGATACATGTGTTTTGGACTGGGATGATACACCACTTGTGCGATCAGATACGTATCACGATACCTTGTTCACAATCCGATACATATGATGATACTTGCACATGCTCTTAGCTGTTGTGTGTAATCCATCTTTTTCAAAGACAGGATGGCCAAATACCTGGCACACTGACGATTGACAGTTGGCAGTGTCAAGTATGTCACAATGGATGAAAATATTTATGTTTTCAATGCTAATTTTCAAAACTAATTAGTGTTTGGTGTAATAGTTATTAAAGCAAACATTTGAAGTAAGAATGATATTAATTACGACTGTGATTGATACTTGTATCGAGAAGTAAAAAATCACAATCCACAATGCATCAGTGTATCGTCCCACTACTACTTGTGTTACGACTCACAAGTCCAATACTTGAACAGATTCTCAGACAGCTGTAGCAGCAGTAAATCTTTCTGGAATGGGCCCTGGTTCCTGTTGGGGAAAATTCCAATTGAAAATACATGTAGTTCTTGGATTGTCTCTGTAAAAGAATGTTTGGGATAGTTTGGAAAGTCAACCTGAGATATGTTTTTGCTTCAGACCAAGCCCCGTAAGTACCTGGAAGCATTATGTGTGTGTTAGCTACCAGTTGATAAATCCATGGAGCTGTATTACGCTTCGGTTGAATATAGCATTCCACGTCTTGTCAAGAATTCCTAATGTTGAGAATTCCATCTTTTTCTCAATTTGTCATCTCATTTTTGAGGAAAACGTTTTCTATTTTTTTATGTAACTTTCCTTGTCTTCTATACAGATACCCTGTTTTAATGTATAATGTTTAATACAACTGAAGAAATATTTGAACGAATGAAGTATTATGAGTGAATATTTGGAAAGAGGACAATTATAAACTGTTTAGATGTCACTCTATGTATTAAGTTAAAATTTGAATTAAACAAATGAAGATATTCTTGATTCTGTTATGTTTTTTTGTTCAGTGAGTAAGTTGGGTTTCATGCCGCTTTAACAGTATTCCAGTTATATCTAGGCATGTCAGCTTAATTTGGAAGGAAAGCCCAAAGTGATGCAGGTCTCAGATGTTTACCACTTCGGTGAAACCCAGGAGCATGGGTATGGTGCTGACAAACCTAGAAACATAATCGGGGCAAACCAGGATTTGACCCCAAAAGCGGCGTTAAACCCAACTCACTCACACACCACAGGGGCTCAACACTATTATCACCCTGGTCAATGGATCAACGTGCATTCAACTATCATTCTCAGCTCCCTAGGGAGTATACAATCCAAGCTACCTTTTAGGTGCTAGAAGGTTAAAAACCACATTGCCATCTCATCCTACCGGGTATCCATTCACTGCTGGGTGAACACAGACGCTTCAGTGTGGGGCAGGACCTAAGCCCTAGAAACTCAGGTGCTGCATTGAACCAAACTCACTCACTCACTCATGGGGACAGATATATGTCAGCTGCCTGAGATTACTTGTATGACACACCTGTGTTCTGTCACCTGAGCTGACCAGTTTGAACAGCCCGATGATAAACATTTATGAACCAGTAAACTGTCAACATAGATGTATGGCTCTGAAAGTGTCGGTGAGCTACAGAGCCCAGATGCTAGTTCAGTTATATAGAATACTAAACTCGCTCCCGTGTAATAAAAATTTTATGAAACGAGTGAATAGATACGGTGGCCCATACCCGCCACTGGTGAGATCACTTTTCACTGTATGCCTCTATATTTTATCTGGCAGACGCCAGATACTTCCACTGGTGAGATCATTTTTCACTGTATGCCTCTATATTTTATCTGGCGGACGCCAGATACTTCCACTGGTGAGATAAAATATAGAGGCATACAGTGAAAAATGATTCTCACCAGTGGCGGGGTATGGGCCACCGTAAATAGGTCTCGTATCTGACGAGAGAAAACGAGTCAGATACAACAAACGTATGCATCTTTTGCTAGGTCAATAAAATAATATATAACTACATGTATTAAACCTTTGTTTGATCTAATTGGTTTAAATGACTAGCTTCTTCTTTTTTTTAAAAAGGGGAGGCAGACTTGAGCCAGTGGGCAATTCAGCAAGTTTCATTCAAGTAGAATCATCACGGAAAAGGAAACTTTTTTGTTCATTAATCCGATTGAGTGGCTACCGCTATTCTCCATACGAACTACCTGTACACATTCATGAGTTGCCCATAATAACGATCAGAGCTGTCTAATGATTTGTTTGTTTTGTTTGTTTTTTAACGCCGCACTCAGCAATATTCCAGCTATATGACTGCGGTCTGTAAATAATCGAGTTTGGACCAGACAATCCAGTGATTGACATCATGAGCATCGATCCACGCAATTGGGATACGATGACATGCATCAGCTAAGTCAGCGAGCTTGACCACCCGATCCCGTTGGTCGCCTCTTACGACAAGCATGGTCGCCTTTTACGGCAAGCATGGGTTGCCGAAGACGTATTGTATCCATAAGTCGCTTCGTACGACAAGCATAGGTTGTCGGAGAGCATTTCTGACCTGGTATACTGTTAGTGATTAAAGCGTTCGCTCGTCACGCCGGATCCCCCGGGTTCGATTCCCGACATGGGTACAATGTATGAAGACCATTTTTGGTGTCCCCCGCCGTGATATTGCTGGAATATTGCTAAAAGCGGCGTAAAACCATACTCGCTCACTCACTATAAACACACATCCAGGAACTCCCTTTAATTACGGTAAGAGCTGTCTAATGAAGACTGGTGGTGATGATGTGTGAACTGGCCGATTGTGTGGTGTTCCCCGACAGCGTGTTACCAACTGCTTGTGTGCCTGGATCTTGACCGTCGGCAACAGGCCGACGTAATAATGCCGTAATATTTCTGACAGCGGTGTAAAATAACATTCACCCACCACATCGTAGTAAATAATTCGAGGAAATAAAACCCTTGAAAAAAAATAGATTCGTGGAATGATGTAGCCATACCTAATAACCTGAGGGTAACATGCCTTGAGGGTTGTTCCTGAAATGTAAGGACGACCTCTGACCTCTGTACATCTAGATGAAATGAGTCTGGCAGCTGACGTCAGGTACACCTATCACACCATAGTGACACCTGACGTTTACGAGCTACGTCTATTTATAGCGACAATACTCGCAGCTGTAGCAAATGTATGCAACATGGCAACGACCGCTCGTAAATACAAATAGATAGAAATCTCTTATAGCGAGCACAATGGATCACTATTGCACATATATATACGTGATGGGATACATGCGGCCATTATGTGAAGGCATTGTTTTGTAGACAAGCGTGATCAGATAAAAAAATATAATATTATGTTTTATAACTGCGACTTAACGTTCCATTATTAAAATAATTGATATCCCCATTTCACGTATAAAAGGGATTTTTAGTGAGAAAGAGACGACAATACCCCGTGTTTGTCGGGAAACCCTGTCTACAGCTGTGACCTCTTGGTGTGACAGTTACAGTTTATGATGCTGTAGGCGGCGTGGATCGCCTATTATACTGAGTATACTGGTATTGAATTGTTGGTTCAGACACTATTTACATGTCGGGTGCAGGCAGTGTTGTCACACGTCACGACAGGCCCGATAAGTGAGTGAGTGAGTGAGGAAAACCGGAAGTGATGCAGGTCTCAGGTTAATGGTCGCATACGTCTAGATGTTGCAATTAGTAACGTGTGAGATATTGTATCTAGGTCATTAGTTACAGCTATACACCACAACATATATATTTTGAGCTAGGCCTGTCAATCAGCCCGAGTCTTGTTCCCCTTTAATGATATTTTGCAACCGATCTTACTTATCTCCCTTGCCTTCAGATTTACCTGTCACAGCTTGGGTCGTGCTTGCTATAACTGTGAACGTGTCAAAGATCGTGTTGTTTCAGACGGAAGGGCTGCAACATGTGGCCGTTAATTATGAAATATCTTGACCACAGGCGCGTACAGACAGACAGCCAGGGATGCTGCATTGGTGTGCATGGGACGAACACATGCACGTGCAGTGGGGGATACTTCATGCTACATGCACGTGCAGTGGGGGATACTTCATGCTACATGTACCCAGGATGCAGGGGGATGCTGAAAGGAGGATGTAGCAGAGCCTGATTATATTCTATCTTCAACTTTACTCAGGATCTGACCGAATAATTTCCTGACGACAAAACTTGTGCACGTATGATAGCCATAAGGTTGTGTCATTCTTGTATGTCGCAAAATTTGTATTACATATTTCAGTGTCAAACGTGCTAAGACAGTGACAGAACACTATATTTTGAAGATTAACGTATAACATTACAAGTCTCTACAAGACGGGATCCAGGAGCACCATGATGAATTATCCAAGGGACAATGCATTCTCAAAACAGAGTTTAATCACTGAATTGTCTGTCAAAGCCGATAAGCTTTTTCGATTAGGGAAAAGAATGCGCTTAAGCGACGCGGCAATCATTAACTGCTCCAGAAAGGCATTACAAAGAAGTATTTCGAACAGAACATTGTTTGGGCGACACATGGACGTGGTATGTTCTGTTATACACTATCTGAGAAGTCTGAGATTTAGCACAGTGGTGGCAGTGGCTGTGTTAGGTTTGATGACGATAGTGGTTTGCTGTGACGTCATACCCCCCTCGATGGAGGAGTCGCTGTCTGGCTTGGAGTATAAGGTTGCGAGACTAGCTCGCCTGTTCATGGAACCCTACCTGCCCACCACGGGTGCTGACGGTGAGTCCTACCATAACGCCTTCGTTAACTTTCTTTGGTGGTATAGAGGGGCGATGTGAAGATGGGACATACAAAAATATTCATAATAATTTGTGAGTGAGTGAGTAGAGCTGTGCGACCCTATAATCATCCTTTTAGCAATATCACAGCGGGGGACACTATATATGGGCTTTAAACAGTGTTGGGCGGTCGGGTAGCCTTGTGGTTAAAGCGTTCGCTCGTCACGCCGAAGACCCGGGTTCGATTCCCGACAGGGGTACAATATGTGAAGCCCATTTCTGGTGTCCCCCGCAGTGATATTGCTGGAATATTGCTAAAAGCGGCGTAAAACCATACTCACTCACTCACTTCAAACATTGTACCCTTAGGGGAAATCCGATCAGCTTTAACCACTAAGCTACCCAACATTATCAGATGAGGTGAATGGAGTCTAACGTTGCGCTCAGCAAGGGCATGGCTAGGGGGAGTAGAATGTTAGCAATCATATTTATTTCTTAAACACTCATAACACTTATGAAACACAAACACGGGCCAGCGCAACATATCTAAAACTAGATATAAAACTACGAGATTCCACGACATATCCTCACCATGTTCTGTACATCAAACATTTGAAGTATAAAACAGTTGGATTATTGTGATCAAACCCAGATATCCTCATAGAATATACATTGTCAATGCAAGACAATATAATCACTCTAGATTATCCACCGAAACATTCCATTTGACGGAAGGGGCAAAATAACCGTGAACATTATATGAATGGAGTGTGAGTGAGTTTGGTTTTACGCCGCTTTTAGCAATATTCCAGCAATATCACGGCGGGGGACACCAGAAATGGGCTTCACACATTGTACCCATGTCGGGATTCGAACCCGAGTCTTCGGCGTGACGAGCGAACGCTTTAACCACTAGGCTACCCGACCGCCCCTTATATGAATGGACGTGGAAATCAGTGATGACACCAGGTGTTCGCGACAAGGGTAAAAGAAATGTAACAAGCAAACAACGTCGAACCTACTCATCAACGACAATGTTGACACTGGTAGTCGGGTCAACCTGTAAGTTAATAAAAGATCATGTTGCTTTTGCAAACGACTGAAAAAAGAACTCACTAAAGCACTTTTTGAAAATTAATTTATTTCATTTTATTTTTGTAACGATTGCAAAGTGTAAACATTTGCTTTTGTGCTACGTGGTAGCTACTCTATTGTTGAAGACTACTGCACTTATATAGCGATGTGCGTGCGTGCGTGCGTGCGTGCGTGCGTGCGTACAATAATCTCAATGCTATGCCTTGGACAAAGGCCGACACCGCATTATATATACCGGTACATCTGATGTGTCACATCATCGTACATGTTGGCAATGCCTGAAATCTAAGCTACACCGTCAAACCAAGCTTGACTATTCTAATCATTTGAAGATAATTAACTGACAATCCATCCAATGGCATTGTCCAGCACAGTAACAACAGAAAGGGCTATGCTCTATTAAGCAGATAACATTGCATATTCATGATGACGTGAAACTTTTATAGATAACACACGTTCTTTATCGTTTGTAACTACTTATTATGGAGTTTAGCTTTATGTACTCTGAAACGTGTCTAAGCTAACCAACGTGTGTGATGATATAGCAGCGTTAAGGCCAGGCTAGGCTCGATGTCCACTCATTGGTTGTTGAAAGCCTAATTATCAAAATAATTATATAGAACCTTACTCTAGTCTTTGGGAAAACATTTGGTGCATGTGACATTTATCAGACAGTTAATGTACAACAATTACCTCCCCTGTTTAAGAATATATCCAAGCTGAGTGTGCTGTGCCCAACCCCCTCTACCGCGACCACACCGACTGCGGACGCTGCAGTGGCGTTACACAAGCTACATTGTTACATGGTGTGGCACAACATGACAACACCGACAGCATCGTGGGTCTTGACATGAACGATGACGACGGTAAAGATACCTCCCAAGGAGCTGAGACCGCCACAGAGAACGATGTTGAAGAGAACAAGGAGATAACATTCGAATACATTTTGTTGCATAAGGTAATGTGTATCGCAGAAATTGTTTTTACAATATTTAATTTATGCTGTCATATGGATATATAATTTAAAAGTGTTTTAAGCTCACCTACAAAAGATAAATATTAAAGACTCTGATATCTGTGAAGAATGTGGACAAGTGGATACACTCCAACACTATGTATTTTACAGTCATAACGTCAATAGATTCTGGAATGTATTTTTTGATATTTCAAAAGCAGTTTATTCAGATTTAGTAATTCAGGATTATTGCCAGTGTGTCTTTACAGGGATCATACTAAAACCTTCTCGTTCTCAATCTTTTAATTCTATATTATTTTCAAAATTTTATGAACATTGTATATCGCTCAAGAGTAATACAAATTAACTATGTTTTTAATAATTTTATAAGAGAACTTAAGGATATTATATACATAATGCGACAAAGCAAACGTTAGGATAATTTAGATTTAATTAAAAAAATAGACTTATTCTTAGAACAAGTTAATTGATATATCAGCTGTTATTTTGGTACTTATTATTCTAAGTAATGTTATTATCCCACCAAGCCCTATACCTCTTGGTTACAGGCCGGCAAAGCCACATTTCGAAAATAGATAGCCCAAATTGATGTGGCTCTCGCGGCAATGGTTATGGTTGCGTGATTGTATAATGTGGCTCTCGCGGCTATGCTGTCAAAACATGTGAGTTTGTAAGGGTTACTTGTAAAACCGTGGCAATTATTTTGAGAAGAAAAAAATAGAAAAATAAAATGCACAGGTATGCATATGGTGCTGACAATAACAGACTCATAGTTGGGTGGAACTTTGGGATTCTACCCCAAGACCAGCAGATACTGTCACACCAAAGGGACGCAATTCTTCACAGCGAATTAAGTCACAGACCAAAGGCGTAGCTAGGGAAAATTTAAGTGTAAGCAATAATATTTATTTTTCTTTAACACTCATTACGCTTCACAAACACAAACACAGGCCAGCGCAACATATCTTAAACCGAGATTTCACGACATATTCTCACCACGTTCTGAACATCACAATTCAAGTATGAAACAGTTGGATTATTGTGATCAAACCCAGACATCCTCATAAAATATACGGGGCGGTCGGGTAGCCTAGTGGTTAAAGCGTTCGCTCGTCACGCCGAAGACCCGGGTTCGATTCCCGACATGGGTACAATGTGTGAAGCCCATTTCTGGTGTCCCCCGCCGTGATATTGCTGGAATATTGCTAAAAGCGGCGTAAAACCATACTCACTCACTCACTCATAAAATATACATTGTCAATGCAAGCCAATATAATCACTCTAGATTATCCACCGAAACAGATTCCATTTGACGTAAAGGGCAAATAGTTGTGACCATTATATGAATGGACCGCTGAAAATCAGTGATGACACCAGGTGTTCACGACAAGGGTAAAGAAAATGCAAACAAACAACAACATCGAACCAACTCATCAACGACAATTTTGACACTGGTAGTCGGGCCAACGTGTAAGTTAACAAAAGGTCATGAACTTTTAAAAGAACACACTAAAGCAAGGTAAGAAAAACGCACATAGAGACGTTTTGATGTGGATTCTTACACCGTTATCAAGCTGGAGTGACAACGGTGTCGAAACGTCGCTATATGCAATAAACCACAAGTTGTTATCCATAAAGTTGCACGTTTTTCTTACTTATTTTGCCAATCAAACACACTGAAGTCCTTTTTTTTAAATCATTTTATTTCATGTTATTTTTGGAACGATTTCAAAGTGTAGGCGTTTGCTCTTTGTGCTACGTGGTAGCAACGCCACTGCAGACCTACCAGTGCCCTGCGCGTCCTGAGTACTGACAATGCAGCCATTCTACTTTCACTTTCAGGACTCCGCCAGCAGTGTGCACGTGTCCGACATGATGGCGGTGCTAGGAGAGCATGAAGGCGTTCTGGCCAACACCACGATGGACTGTTCTCCCGTCGGGGCCATTCCCCTCAAGGACTTCTTCACCCACAGCTTTTATTCCAATTTTCAGACGGAGAAATTATCATGTACCTGGTACGATTCAAGTGAGACAAAGTTTGTTTGTTTGTTTATTTGTTGTTTAACGCCGCACATAGCAATATTCCAGCTATATGACGGCGGTCTGTAAATAATCGAGTCTGGACCAGACAATCCAGTGATTGACATCATGAGCATCGATCCACGCAATTGGGATACGATGTCTGACCACCCGATCCAGTTAGTCGCCTCTTACGACAAGCATAGTTGCCTTTTACGGCAAGTATGGGTTGCTGAAGACCTATTCTATCCCGGATCTTCACGGGTCTAGTGAGACAATGTATTTCACATGACATTTAAACATAACTATTATCGGTCTTAATTAGCAGGACAAAAGGACACTTGGGAAAAGGGACACCATATTATTTTTTATTGGAAACTTATATCAGTGTCCGCACGTTCCAAAAAATTGAGTGATTATTCCCTGCAATAGCGCAGTTCGGAACTGCGTTTTATTTTTTTTAGTATTTGTTCCAGAATAATCTGGAAAAATGTTATGTTGCCAAATATTTTTAAAACAAATGTTCGCTGGACAACATTAATGTCCTGAAAAAAAACGTGAAAACAAATTGCACAGAGGACGCAATTAGTGACAAGTGTAAAATATTGAGATATTGTCTCTGTGTATATGTAGTGAGTGAGTATGGTTTTACGCCGCTTTTAGCAATATTCCAGCAATATCACTGCGGGGGACACCGGAAAATAGGCTTCATACATTGTACCCATGTGGGGAATCGAACCCGGGTCTTCGGCGTGATGAGTCAACGCTTTAACCACTAGGTTACCCCCCACCCCCAAGTGTACATGTAACTTGGATCAATCTCAAAGTGTACGCGGGCACGTGATATAACTGGAAAACTGTTAAACCCAACCCACTCACTCAAAGTGTACGCGGGCACGTGATATAACTGGAATACTGTTAAACCCAACCCACTCACTCAAAGTGTACGATCGTGAACAAAACATCAGTCCCCACGAAGATGTCTTATTGTTGTTTAACGCCAGCATCAGCAATATTCCAGCTATATGGTGGTGACCTTTAACAGGCGAATCTGGCCCAGACAATCCAGTGATTGATATTATGCACAATGTTCCACGCCGTCGGATTGCGTTTTCGTTTGTTTGTTTAACACCGTACTCAGCAATAATCCAGCTTTATGACGGTGGTCTGTAAATAATCGAGTCTGGACCAGGCAATCTAGTGATTAATATCATTGAGCATCGATCCATGCAATTTGGATCGATGACATGCATCAACCAAGTCAGCAAGCCTGACCGCCCGAATCCGTTCGTTATTACGATAAGCATAGGTTGCTGCGGACCAATTCTAACCAAGAATCACCCTGCTGTGTATATACACTGAAAGAAAGTGCCAAGACTCCATGTTATGTCTATCGAAGACTCTGTTTTCTACGTGTGAATACCCAGAACTTCCTTGTCTGTTTAGGCTAGATACATGTCTGTTACATTACTGGCTAATTCCATTGACTTCTGCATCCACTGTTTAGGAAAAGCAAGCTGAATCTGGCCGTCGCCATGTTGATGAGGAAGATGTTTCCCAGACCCAAGCTGTTGCCCCCGGAGTCCGAAGTGGCACCGCAGAAGTTTATATACGTGGATGGTCCTGGGACAGGAGGCAGGAAAATGGTAGCCAGTGTTTGTCATTGAAGGAGTTTGTTGTTTTGTTTGTTGTTTAACGCCACACTCAGCAATATTCCAGCCCTTGGGTAGAATACGTCTTCACCAACCCATGCTTGCCGTAAAAGGCGACTAACGGGATCGGGTGGTCAGGCTTGCTGACTTGGTTGATGCATGTCATTGTATCCCAATTGCGTAGATCGATGCTCATGATGTCAATCACTGGATTGTCTGGTCCAGACTCGATTATTTACAGACCGCCGTCATATAGCTGGAATATTGCTGAGTGTGGCGTTAAACAAAAAACAAACGACGGGTGGCCCAAATCCCGCTGTGCCCTTAGGCGTGGCACAAACTTATGATCGTGAGTTCGAATTCCGGTTCGCCTTCTTTATGATCCTAGACTTGTCAGTATCATACCTTGCCTATGGACTTCACCGAAGTGGTCAACGTCTAAAACCTGCATCACTTCGGGCTTTCTTTCCGAATCAAGCTGGTATAACTGAAATACTGTTCAAACCGGCGTCAAACTCACTCACTCACTCACTCACTCGTGCACTCACTCACTCACTCACTCACTCACTCACTATCCATCTCCATGTTTTGTTCATTTAACTTTATCATCTTCATGGAAAGTGTTACCTGATCTCAACAAAACTTCAACAAACGGTGAGTTGGAATATGTATATTATATTGTTGAACCTTGTTTGTTTATCAGAATGAAGGTTTCGCGGACTTCATCTACACCTGGTACGTGCAGGGGCAAGGGGAGAGAACTCTCAAATTTTCACCGCCACTTGAGTGTCGAAATGCATGTCGGGACATTCACGTGACGGTCATGGAAGGCGACACACGTAAGTATGGAGGAAGATGTTATCATTTTAAGGTTTAGGAACTGATATGAGTATTATAACATGCTTTTATCATTCTCTCACATTCAAACCCCGATTTCTGTCTTTCCAGTTATATTTCCTGGCAATCTCTGGGATGTGCATTTGCTGGCCAACAAGAAGTCGACCAGTCTCGCATTTGAGGGATATATGTACATTTGAAAAAAACGAATCATATATATAATAGTGTTATAATTGTTTTTGAAGACTTTGATACGATCTGAAGTGTTTAATATATGAAGCTTTAGACACGCCAAACATGTGCGTTCAATGCTAACCTAATTGTCTTCTTGCGATCAACTCTGATGAATCTAATTTTAGCAGACAGCCATGCTGAGATTGCACATTATATGCGCGCATTCTGCGATTTCCTTCCATGGAACAGACACACTGCATGGAAAGTTGATTAGAGTTAGAGTTAATTGAGTTCACTAGCTACACCCTGAGATTACGTCATATCGTCTGCACCGACCGCCTCCGTGGTCTGGTGGATAGAGCGTCTGCCTGGAGGGCGGAAAGTCGCGACCTACCAAAAAACGGTAAAAGATGGTACTTGTTGTTGTCCTGGATCAGGTGGATCAGAGGGGGTCGGGGTAGGTCAGGTGGACCAGAGTGGGTCGGGGTAGGTCAGGTGGACCAGAGGGGGTCGGGGTAGGTCAGGTGGACCAGAGGGGGTCGGGGTAGGTCAGGTGGACCAGAGGGGGACGGGGTAGGTCAGGTGGACCAGAGGGGGACGGGGTAGGTCAGGTGGACCAGAGGGGGTCGGGGTAGGTCAGGTGGACCAGAGGGGGTCGGGGTAGGTCAGGTGGACCAGAGGGGGTCGGGGTAGGTCAGGTGGACCAGAGGGGGTCGGAGTAGGTCAGGTGGACCAGAGGGGGTCGGGGTAGGTCAGGTGGACCAGAGGGGGTCGGGGTAGGTCAGGTGGACCAGAGGGGGTCGGGGTAGGTCAGGTGGACCAGAGGGGGTCGGAGTAGGTCAGGTGGACCAGAGGGGGACGGGGTAGGTCAGGTGGACCAGAGGGGGTCTGAGTGGGTCAGGGTGGACCAGAGCAGGTCGGGGTAGGTGAGGATGGACCAGAGTGCGTCGGGGTAGGTCAGGTGGACCAGAGGGGCTCAGAGTTGGTCAGGTGGATCAAAGAGGGTCGGGGTAGGCCAGGTGGACCAGAGGGGGTCGGGGTAGGTCAGGTGGACCAGAGGGGGTCGGGGTAGGTCAGGTGGACCAGAGGGGGTCGGAGTAGGTCAGGTGGACCAGAGCGGGTCGGGATGGATCAGGTGGACCAGAGGGGGTCGGAGTAGGTCAGGTGGACCAGAGCGGGTTGGGATGGATCAGGTGGACCAGAGGGGGTCGGAGTAGGTCAGGTGGACCAGAGGGGGTCGGGGTAGGTCAGGTGGACCAGAGGGGGTCGGGGTAGGCCAGGTGGACCAGAGGGGGTCGGGGTAGGTCAGGTGGACCAGTGTGGGTCGGGGTAGGTCAGGTGGACCAGAGGGGGTCGGGGTAGGCCAGGTGGACCAGAGGGGTTCGGAGTAGGTCAGGTGGACCAGAGGGGGTCGGAGTAGGTCAGGTGGACCAGAGGGGGTCGGAGTAGGTCAGGTGGACCAGAGGGGGTCGGAGTAGGTCAGGTGGACCAGAGGGGGTCGTAGTAGGTCAGGTGGACCAGAGGGGGTCGGGGTAGGTCAGGTGGACCAGAGGGGGTCGTAGTAGGTCAGGTGGACCAGAGGGGTTCGGAGTAGGTCGGGTGGACCAGAGTGCGTCGGGGTAGGTCAGGTGGACCAGAGGGGGTCGGAGTAGGTCGGGTGGACCAGAGTGCGTCGGGGTAGGTCAGGTGGACCAGAGTGGGTCGGGGTAGGTCAGGTGGACCAGAGTGGGTCGGGGTAGGTCAGGTGGACCAGAGAGGGCCGGGGTAGGTCAGGTGGACCAGAGGGGGACGGGGTAGGTCAGGTGGACCAGAGTGCGTCGGGGTAGGTCAGGTGGACCAGAGGGGGTCGGGGTAGGTCAGGTGGACCAGAGTGCGTCGGGGTAGGTCAGGTGGACCAGAGTGCGTCGGGGTAGGTCAGGTGGACCAGAGGGGGTCGGGGTAGGTCAGGTGGACCAGAGGGGGACGGGGTAGGTCAGGTGGACCAGAGGGGGACGGGGTAGGTCAGGTGGACCAGAGGGGGTCGGGGTAGGTCAGGTGGACCAGAGGGGGTCGGGGTAGGTCAGGTGGACCAGAGGGGGTCGGAGTAGGTCAGGTGGACCAGAGGGGGTCGGGGTAGGTCAGGTGGACCAGAGGGGGTCGGGGTAGGTCAGGTGGACCAGAGGGGGTCGGGGTAGGTCAGGTGGACCAGAGGGGGTCGGAGTAGGTCAGGTGGACCAGAGGGGGACGGGGTAGGTCAGGTGGACCAGAGGGGGTCTGAGTGGGTCAGGGTGGACCAGAGCAGGTCGGGGTAGGTGAGGATGGACCAGAGTGCGTCGGGGTAGGTCAGGTGGACCAGAGGGGCTCAGAGTTGGTCAGGTGGATCAAAGAGGGTCGGGGTAGGCCAGGTGGACCAGAGGGGGTCGGGGTAGGTCAGGTGGACCAGAGGGGGTCGGGGTAGGTCAGGTGGACCAGAGGGGGTCGGAGTAGGTCAGGTGGACCAGAGCGGGTCGGGATGGATCAGGTGGACCAGAGGGGGTCGGGGTAGGTCAGGTGGACCAGAGGGGGTCGGGATGGATCAGGATGGACCAGAGGGGTTCGGGGTAGGTCAGGTGGATCAGAGGGGGTCGGAGTAGGTCAGGTGGACCAGAGGGGGTCGGAGTAGGTCAGGTGGACCAGAGCGGGTTGGGATGGATCAGGTGGACCAGAGGGGGTCGGAGTAGGTCAGGTGGACCAGAGGGGGTCGGGGTAGGTCAGGTGGACCAGAGGGGGTCGGGGTAGGCCAGGTGGACCAGAGGGGGTCGGGGTAGGTCAGGTGGACCAGTGTGGGTCGGGGTAGGTCAGGTGGACCAGAGGGGGTCGGGGTAGGCCAGGTGGACCAGAGGGGTTCGGAGTAGGTCAGGTGGACCAGAGGGGGTCGGAGTAGGTCAGGTGGACCAGAGGGGGTCGGAGTAGGTCAGGTGGACCAGAGGGGGTCGGAGTAGGTCAGGTGGACCAGAGGGGGTCGTAGTAGGTCAGGTGGACCAGAGGGGGTCGTAGTAGGTCAGGTGGACCAGAGGGGGTCGGGGTAGGTCAGGTGGACCAGAGGGGGTCGTAGTAGGTCAGGTGGACCAGAGGGGTTCGGAGTAGGTCGGGTGGACCAGAGTGCGTCGGGGTAGGTCAGGTGGACCAGAGGGGGTCGGAGTAGGTCGGGTGGACCAGAGTGCGTCGGGGTAGGTCAGGTGGACCAGAGTGGGTCGGGGTAGGTCAGGTGGACCAGAGGGGGCCGGGGTAGGTCAGGTGGACCAGAGGGGGCCGGGGTAGGTCAGGTGGACCAGAGGGGGACGGGGTAGGTCAGGTGGACCAGAGTGCGTCGGGGTAGGTCAGGTGGACCAGAGGGGGTCGGGGTAGGTCAGGTGGACCAGAGTGCGTCGGGGTAGGTCAGGTGGACCAGAGTGCGTCGGGGTAGGTCAGGTGGACCAGAGGGGGTCGGGGTAGGTCAGGTGGACCAGAGTGCGTCGTAGTAGGTCAGGTGGATCAGAGGGGGCCGGGGTAGGTCAGGTGGACCAGAGGGGGTCGGAGTAGGTCGGGTGGACCAGAGGGGGTCGGAGTAGGTCGGGTGGACCAGAGGTGGTCGGGGTAGGTCAGGTGGACCAGGGAGGCTTCAGGTCGGTCAGTGTGGGTCAGGGTAGACCAGGGTATGTCTGGGTGGGTACGCATAGCCAATGGTAGGCCTTGTGTCACTTTAAACTAATTTGGGCCCCCCCACAACCGCTTGTTTATCTATGGAAGAACATAGTTATATTTTATTGAGGCATAGCAAGCGTTCATGTATAAGTCAATTGCGTCTCAAGATATGAACATGTCTCCACCGTATGTTAAGAATTAAACAAAAAGTAATCTTGTTCAGCTTTACAGAGTCTCAACAACGACCTCGCACACTCCCATTCTCAACCGTGCAGTTGTACAATTGAGTCGACAGCAAACAGCATACGGGAATATATGGGTGGAGTTTATTTTTCCCCACATGTTTACCTTTCAGATTAACACTTAACCGACACAACCTGTATGCAGACAGTCTTAAAATCAAAACCAAGGCATTTTTATATCGGCCGAGAGAAACTCGGCAGCGAACAACAATGCACAATCAATATGGAAAGGCTCCCTCCGTTTCCAACAATACAAATCACGTGTAAAAATATAACTGTTTCAATATTACAGACCTTTCTGAATTTTTTAATAAATCATTATATTCAAACACGTGTGTAATTTCTGAAGAATACACTGCATTGTCAAAGCCATGAAAAGAAATTTAATTCAAACAACTTCGTTCGACATAATAACATATTTCCCTGCCCGCATGTATCCAACTGTAGCGGTGTAGGTAGTACGTCGGTCATCGCTATCCTCATCCTGACTGTCGTTGTTTAAAAGGGAAAGACGTCCACAGATTTCATTTTAAAATCGCTAAGTTTCCTTAAAGCCGCATTGATCTCAACGGTGTCTCATTCATAACTGTCACGGATATGAAGGTGATGCCCGCATAATAATGGCTGTTCCTTATTATATTTTTTCAATGGCGTGTTTACCTGCTCAGGTGATGGCGATTATACGGCTATCGAAGTCAATTTTCGAGACTATTTATGTGTTGGATTTCTAAAGAGCACCTGTAAAAATGTTACAAGTGTCAATAGACCTCCGGTTTCATGCACCCCAACTGTGTCTGACATTTTTGAGTAAATGTTTAAAATAGGGGATAACGAAATTAAAGCATGAGGATATTCCATTTAAACAGAGAGCGCGGGAGAGGGCACCTCGGTCTCTGAGCCGATACTGTTAATGTGGCGCAGGTGAAATAATCATATGACACTAATGTTTATGAAATACCGCGTCTCAGGGCTCAACAAAAGTAGTTCATCAACTCCAGTTGCTTTTTAACATACATGTATTAATAGGTCTTCACCAACCCATGCTTGTCGTACGAGGCGACTAACGGGATCGGGTGGTCAGACTCTCTGACTTGGTTGATGCATGTCATCATATCCCAATTGCGTGGACCGATGCTCATGGTGTCAG